CTAGGCAGGGGGTCGGACTCGATGATCTATTGAGGTCCCTTCCGACCCTAACATCTATGAATCTATGACATTTGGATGTTTATCTTGCTGGGATCCTATGATCCCTGCCGATCTCCTGCCCCTGGGGTGGGGGGCTGGACTCGATGATCCTCCAGGGTCCCTTCCAGCCCTAGTGTCTATTAAATCTATGAACCAGGTATTTTTCCAGGTCTAACAGTTAAGATTCTGCAAATGCTCAAAAAGACAAAACTGCACTGGGATACAGGACATCCTCAGGGACCCTGTTCACAAACTGCATCGCACCAGAGGTGCTGTTACTGTATTCACACTGTCTATAATAGAGACAACTGTGGACACTACAGGGTGTCCACAGGTTCTCAACCAACCCTGGAAGAGACGCACACATCTCTCTTTGAAGGTAAAAGTAGGTAAGTGAGCCACAACTGGGGATCCTGGCTACAACAAATTAACAAGAGACCCATGCAGCAGGCAGGTAACAAGCACTTCCATGGGAAAATCCTCAATAAAACAGTAGTGCACCCAACTGGAAGAGAAGTTAGGCTGCTTGTAAAATACTGCAAGCAGACTGATTTTTCCAAGTGATCTACACAGCCACCACAGCTCATGGCTCCACCCACACCCTGCAGCACATGCCCAGGAATTCATTTACATACCAACTCACCTCAGTTTTTGTCACTTTCTTTGGAGCTTTAAGACTCTGAGTACGTTTGGGCATTTTGTCTCCTGCATCGTCATCTGATGGGTCTGTTCTAGCATCAGACTGGATCCCATTAGACCTCTGTGCTATGCTGGCTTCTTCTCCAGAAGAGTAACAAGAAGCTAAGGAATAGAAAAAAAATGCTACACCTAACACTTGACTGGGGGCTTCAAGCTGAAAATGGCAGGCACAGCAGGGTGGACAAAAGAGTTCTTAGCAGTCCTTGGTTCAAGGACCTGGAGGATTCATTGAGGCAGGTGGAGAAACAAGAGGAATCTGGGGTACTGATAACCCTTATGTAGGGGTGCACAGATAGAGATTTTGGGGGCAGAGACCAATAGCCAATTAAGGAGGCATGTCAGCTGATAGCGATCCGATTTCTGAAACAGCTGTGTGCAGCTGATAAGTCTGTTGCGGCAGACAGGGAGGGAGGAGGGAAGGGGCGTGGGGGGTGCAGATCAATGCCCCCTGCGGTGAGGGAGGAGTGGGGCTGGGGCAGGCGCTGTCCAACTGAGAAGGGGAGGGGTGGGGCACAGAACAGAGCCATGGCTCGTCTGGGGGGCACGGATGGTGCCTCCCACCGTGGCGCACACCCAAGGAGGGCACAGGAGTGGGGAAGGCATGTGCCACCCAGATCTGCAAAGGGCGCAGGCGGGGTGGGCTGCAGCTATGGGCTGGGGCAGCACCAGGCTCTTCCTGGCCTGGGGTGGGAAGGTTGGGTTGGGCGGTAGCGGCACTAGGAAGTGAATCTCTGGGGGGGACACCACAGCGAAATATGGGGTGGCTGCAGCACCCCCCATAGCACCCCTCCCACCACCGCCTGCCCTGAGCACATCCCGGCCCACCCCCTGCGATTCCCACCCCCTGGCCAATGCCAGGAAGAAACTGGTGCCACCTTGGCCCCAGCCCCAGCTGCAGCCTGCCCTGCCCAGATCCAGGGGCACATGCTCCCCACTCCCCAGAGTGCGTGCAAGGCAGAAGCTGCCCCCTCCGGCCCCCCCAAACAAGCTGCAGTGCTGTCCCATAACCCGCCCTGGCTGGGCAGCGCCTGCCCCAGCCCCCGCCCCACTCCTCTCTCACCACGGGGGGCATGGATCTGTCCCCCCCACACCCCTTCTCTCCCCTTCCACCAAAAAGACTTACAAGCTGAAGGCAGCTCTCCAAGCTTGCTGGTCTGCACTCCTCACTGTGTGCGCGCGCATGCCCAGGCATTTATTGGCCAGATTTCCGACAAGGCCAATTTTCTTTATATCAGTGCCAATCTGAGATATCATTGATATATCGGTGCACCTCTACCCTTATGCACAACCCACAAGCTTCCCTTCCCCTCATCCATTGCATGGGACCTCATGGAATGGCCAAACAGAAAGACTTTGTACCCGAATCGTCAATGGTTTCAAGAAGGCCCCCACCAGAGGGATGCAGCCGTGGCTCAGGACTCCGCAGGTGCACACCGTCTTCATCCCTGATCAGAGTTAGGTCCTGCATGCTGAAACTCCGTAGCTTCTCGGACAGAACTCCCTGACCCTAGGAGAGCATGACACACACATATGAAGGCATTTATGACACTAGCATCTGAGACAAGCTAGAGGGAAAAGATGTCCCATCTCCCACACAGAAACCCTTGGGGAAGAACAGGGAAGACAAGCCTTCTCCAGACACCAAAAGAAAAGAGGATGAGGCAGTCCACTCCCATTCTTCCACAAGCTACAGAACAGGGTGAACAGGCAGACTGGAGGAAAAGTGAAGTGAAATGAGTAGCAACCACCCTGGGAGACCAACAGGCAGCAAGCCCGCCAGGAAGTGCCTGATGCCTCAAAGGCTTAGGGGGTGGTTGTAACACATGGGAGAGGCATTACCTTTGCAGCTGCAGTAACTGCTGCATTGGCAGCCAGGTTTAACCCTCTCTTCCCAACTCGCATCATGGTTTCATAGCTCTTGTCACGGGCCTGGGTGATATACTCATCAATCTCCTAAGAGAAAGAGTATGGGAACACACCATTTAAAATTCCTAGTTAAAACCACAGAGACCTCCCCATTAAAATTCCAAAGGTCATCAGGCACCTACAGAGCTGATGAGCTCATCAGCTATGGAAGTTAACAGCTGTTGTCTATTTTTCTGTTACTTGTGTTATTGTCTTCCCTTTGCTACTTAGGGCAGGTCCATACCCAATGGAGATGTGCACTTGCAACTTGTCAAGAACCAAGATGCTATGTTTAATGTAGACGGTGCAGCCTGCAGAGGCAAGAGGGCTGCAAGGGCGCTTCTATTTTAATTCAAACAGCTCAAATGTGGAAGGAGTGCACCCCAGGGCCTGTAACATCGGCAAGCCAAACATCCACATTAGAACGCAGGGATACTACAGGCCTCACTGCAATGAATGTTCAGC